GTCAGGTAGTTTTAAAATTGTACAGTTTCTGGATGACCAGAGGAAATATGAAAGCAACAGAATAAAGTTTTCTTGGAGGCTGTAGATAATTTTGGTGGCAGGATCCTAGAAATAATAATAATAATTTTGGTGGCAATGACATTATTTAGCATCATTAGCACTTAGTGCTCTAGATAATTTACTTATACTAACACATCTATTTCTTATGTGACTTCTATGATGTGGTTACCCTTAGTATTTGCATTTTCATATGAGTAAACTATGAATCAGAAAATTCTTCATAAGAAGTTATGATCATAATTTTGACTCCAGGCACCTAGGGAAACAGAAGAAGCCATGCATTTAGAAATGAAATAAATAGAGGGGGGGGAAAATGGTACATAATTATGAAAGATACATTCATTAAATTAATATTTATGAACTTCTACATATGTTCAGTTGTAGGTGGCTGTTTGGTGATAGAAATATGAAAAGACAAATCCTACATCCTGAGAAACCCATGTGGAAAAGTTAGGCTATTAAGGCTAAGAATATTACACTATGGATTGCATATTAATTTATTTGGGAGTCACTTTTTAGAAATTGTGTAGTAATATCCAATAAATATTCCAGATATTGGGCCGATACATTGAAGACTGCCAAACAAAACTAGAAATATACTTAGCTTCTTTTCACCTTCTAAAATAAACATATGAAAAATTACTGACCTAGTCCATTAAGGAGGTGTTATTTGAAATTACATTCAAGAGGGTCTGCCAGAGATGTATTATCTCTTTATTTAAGTTGAAACTTCTGATTCTTCATCAGTTTATGAGCATGTATATTATACTGCATGACCAGAAAATGTCATAGAGAAAAGTTTTAAAAATTAAATATTGTCTTCTAAATCTTGTAGTTAATTCTAGCAAAAATACTGTAAACAGGATAACATAGATATTCGTATATGATACTTAGTAAAAAATCCATAGACTACCTATCCACATACTACTACATTAAATTTTTTTTGTATTTAGAAAATCTTATAAACCAAGAGAACATACCCAGGCAAATGAATGAACAAACATCAGACAAGTTTAGTCAAGCTAGCCTGTGTATTCAAAGCCTTCTGATTCTAAGTAAGGCAAGAAAGCCCTAATCACCCAAATAGACAACAGAGGAACTTATCTGTTAGTACATTAACAAGCAAAAAGAATATTATCATCTTCAGATATAAGTAAATGTAAAAAATTAATAACATTATCTACAGAAACTTGGGCCTTTGAATAAAATAATCACAGTAAGAAAATAATTTTTGAAGACTTTTGAGGAAGAATATATAGATAACCAATATGCTTTTTAGAAAACAGAGGATGAAAATGAGAATATTTGCTTGACACACTTGGGTTAGACATTACTTGTGTTTACCAACATTTCCAGCTTTCTTTTTCTTCCAGGAACATGGGAGGATTCCATTTGTTCAATCTTTTGCAGTTAGACTTGGACTTGGGGCTTGTTATGGTAAATAAAATATTTGTAGATAAAATTATCTATATAGACCTGACCTGTGTCAATTCTGAGTGAAAATTTAAGAGTAATTATGTGCTTTTCCATTTTTCTCCCCCAGCTCTTGTGTTCACTGAAGGCTTTCATTAAAATGCAGTGTCCTAAAATTCTGACCTTTATCAGAATAGATCCTTGAGTGTCTATAATAGAGTCTCCCCTCCACCCCAAAGCCTTTATTAGTTACGTAGTATGAACAAGAAGAAACCTTTGATTCTTTAACACACTGATATTTGAGAGCGGGTGGGTGATGCCTCAGCATTATCTAGGTTATCTTGAGTGGTATCATATTCATGAACAGAAAAGTGTCCGAGGACAGCCAAGAATAACCATGTTTTCTCTGAAGAAATTATACTTCCAGAAGTTAAGAGCTGTTCTAAAGCTATATTAGTGAAGAACTATAGTAAAGCTGTAGTAATTGAGAAAGTGTGGCTTTGGTGCAGGTATAGAAAACCAGTGCAATGTTACTAAATAGAGAGTCCAGGAACAGACTCACAGATACACGTTTACCTGAATTATAGCAGACATAACATTAGAGTATGGTGACAAAAGATGATATTTTCAATAAAAGATACTTGATCAATTGGAGAGCCACATGAATGAATAATGAACCTTGGTGTTTATTCCCACATCACACCAAAAAAATCCTTCCCAAGTGAATTGTATACATAAACTTGAAAGAAAACACAGTACAACTTCTGGACTAAAAAGAGGGTATTTTCATAACTTTCCAATAGGAACAGATTATAAAACAAGACAGTACCTACACGTATACATGCTAACAGTATGGGAAATGTATTGCTTAATCAGTGTATACTAAAATTAATAACAGATACACCATTAACAGAGAAGAGGACAGGCAAACCAAATGACTTGTATTACAGAATATTTACAGGGCTCCTATAAATTATAAGAAAAGGCGACACCACATAGAAAACTTAGCAAAGGACTTGTTTGGGGATTTTGCAAATGAGGATATCCAAATTTCTAATGAACATGAAAAGATGCATCACTTCCTTAATAATATGGGGAATACATTTAAAATCCCCAAACAGTTCCACTATATTCTGACCAGAATGGGTAAAATAAAAAATGTTAAGTAGTAGCAAGTATCTGGAGCCACTAGAATCCTCTCATACACTGCTGATGTGAAGGTAAATTGGTAAAATCATTTTAGAAAATTGCTTGGCAGTATCTCAGAAAGTGGGTCATGTACGTATCCTATGGTCCCTATGAATCTACCAAATTAAAGTATTGCATAAATTTACCTGAAGATATGTACATCATAGATCACAGAAACACTGTGTGTAACAATAATTGATACATCTCAAATGTATATTAATAGTAGAATGTGTAAAGAAAGCATGATATATTTAAACAGTGAAATTCTATGCAACAATGAGAATGAGTAAACTATAAGCAACAAATGAGTCAGATATAAAAAAGTTTATATATGTATTTAGATTTGTATATATATATTTATATTTGTGTGTGTGT